ACTTCGAAGCAGGTGGAATAGCACTTGTTTGTAGTAAAGGGCACGGAGGACCTTTGGAGTGGCTCCTGGTAAGAAACAAGTGGATTTCCACTGCCACCCTCTAGGAATGGCCTGGGATGACACACATGGTGGCCTGTGTCCCCATACTTGAGAGCCAGAAGCAGAAGAATCGCAAGTTTGAGGGCAACCTGGACTACACAGCCTGTGTTCTGGACTGAGCCACCACCTGCCTGGCAAGCAAGCAAAAGCAACAACCACAATCCTGGAGAAACACAGCCGAAGACACCTACACTGCACGTCCCCAGAAGTCAAAGGTGGGCTGAGCCACAGACCTGGTTTTATGCCACTGAAGTCTGGTGGCCAAGGCTGCAGAATGTCACAGCATCCTTCTCGGCCAAGTCAGGAAGAGGAAGCACCACTGTCTGGTTGGCTCTGGCCCAGCACCAGGAGTTCAGAATCTGTCCCCCGTCTCCCTGATTATAATGACATCTAAGCAGCGGCAAGCGACATATGACTGCTTGTCCTCCAAATCTGAAGGTCTTCTGGGCTAAACCACCTCAGGAGAATAACTGTGTCTGAATTAATGTGTCACTACAGTGGCCAGCATGCTGTCCACTTTCCCATGTGGTAATGGTAACAATAGCAACTCAGGGATTCTTGTGTGGTAATTTTTATTATTTATTTGTTTATTTTATTTGACACAGGTTCTCCATGTGTAGCTCAGGCTGGCCTTGAACTCACGGCAATCCTCCTGCCTCAGCCTCCCGAGTGCTGGGATTGCAGGTCTGCCCCACCATGCTAGGGTCCACTTTTACTATTTTACCAGTAACCACGAATAGGTATTACAGCTCATTACTTCCGATCTTCCCCTTCGGCTGGGGATGTAGCTCAGAGATGGAGCATTTCCCTAGTGTGCTCAAGACCCTGGGTTTGATTCTTAGCACAGTAAAAGGAAGACAAGAAAGAAATTCTTCCACCCATTGCTAGTTTGCCAGGCCTAAAACTTGCAAATTTCTTAGAATCTCAAATTAGTTTTCTTTCTCATTAAAACACAGGACTTTTTCTTTTACTTTTGAAGTATGTGAAAAATGTAAAAGCAAAAATTGGCACCTTCGGTGTGAAAGTTAATTTTAGTTTAATGAACTGCTTTTCTCAGCAGGGAGCAAAGCTTGAGGCTACTAAGTTAACTCTCTCTGTTTGCTTCAAGAACCTTATATGCCAAAGAAAATCAGTTTGTCATTTTTTCATGATACAATCTTTTTTGTTTGTTTGTTTGTTTGTTTGTTTGTTTGAGACAATGTCTCACTATGCAGTCTATGCTGGTCTTCAGCTTACCACATAGCCCAGGCTGCCCTAGAACCCACACCCAATCCCAGTCCTTTCTTAATTTCTGATTTTGAAACTGGGTCTTACATTAATTCACTAAATTAGTTGGGTGAAGTGGCATATGCCTGTAATTCTAGTACTTGGGAGGCTGAGGCAGGAAGACTGCCCCAAATTTAAAGTACAAGTACAGGGGTTGGGGATTTAGCTCAGCGGCATAAGCGCCTATCTTGGAAGCAGGCAGTCGTGAGTTCGATCCCTGGTACCGATAAAAAGGAAAAAGACCAAAAAAAAAAAAAGTGCATGGTTGTGAGTTCGATCCCAGGTACCAATAAAAAAAAAAAAAAAAGCACAAGTACCTGGGCTACATAGTGAGTTCAAGGCCAGCCCGAATGCATAGGGAGACCCTATCTCCAAAAAGAACAAAATGCAATGACTTACTCACCAAGTTGCCCAGACTGTGTTCAAACTGGTGATCCTCCTGCCCTAGACTCCTAAGTGCTGGAGTTTCTGCCGGGCATTCCCATTCCCAGTTGACATTAAATAAATTATATATCAGTGATTTTAATCACATATGATGTCTCCATCAGGAAACAAAGCAAAGTGAGATGGTCAGAATAGCATTGCTCAAGGGAAGGAAAAATACCCCTTTTCCTAGTAGAAAAGTTAGTTTTCCAAACTTCCTTCTGGAAGGCTGAGGCAATTTAGCCTCAGGCTGGGTAATTTAGCCACTTGCTGAGTCTCTGTCTCAAAATAAAATATGGAAAAAAAAATTAGGCTCAAGCTGGGTAATTTAGCCACTTGGTAAGCCTCTGTCTCAAAATAAAAGACAAAACAAACAAACAAACAAAAACCCTCTGGTGATGTGGCACAGGGCAAAGGCCCTGGGTTCAATCCCTGGTGGAAAAAAAAGGTTTACAACTGATGCCTGCAACAAGCTATTTGGCATGGTGGCTCACGCCTGTAATCCCAGCACTCAGGAAGCTGCAGCAGGAGGATCATTGTGAGTTCGAGACCAGCCAAGCCTACAAAGTGCGTTTAAGGCCAGCCTGAACTGCATAGCGAGACCCTGTCTCAAAAAAGACAAAAAAAAAAAAAAAGCTACTAGGCAACAAATGCTAGGAGAGCCAGCTACTGACATTTTCTATGTCTTCAAGCTAAAAATATGCCAAGTAGGGGCTGGGGATTTAGCTCAGCAGCATTAGCGCCTGCCTCGAAAGCAGGGAGTCGTGAGTTCGATCCCTGGTACCAGTAAAAACGAAAAAGCCAAAAAAAAAAAAAAAAAAATGCCAAGTAATAACAAGCCACCGGGCATCATCCCAGATCCTGCATCTGGATAGTACAGACTAATTAATTGCCTGTTCCCATAATGCATCCTGGCAGGACAGCAGGCAAAGTGGTGCTAACCCCATTTCACAGATTAGAGAACTGAGACCAAGTACATTCACTGCTCCAGGGCACTGGAGTGAGTGACAAGTAAGATCCAAACTCAAAGTGCATAGGCCTTGCTACAAAACGCATGGGAGTGTGGGGTGTGTGGGTGAGCGTCTGTAACCCCAGCAATCAGGAGGCTGAAGCAGGAGGATTGCTGGGATTTGAGACCAGCCTAAGTCATGTACTGAGATCAAGGCCAGCCTGAACTATATAGTGAGATTCTAAAAAAATAAAACCAAAATAAAAATGCACCACTGTGAATGTCTATATCCAGACTCTTGGCAACTCCTAGGTTGAACCCAGTGAAACTGTTGCTAATCAATTACTTTTGTCTGAAAAAAATGGCAGTTTTTGCCAGGAATGGTTGTACACATCTATAATCCCAGCACTCTAGAAGCCGAGGCAAGAGGATTGCTGTTCAAGACCAGCCTGGGCTACAGAGTGAGTTCAAGGCCAATCTAAAGTCATAACAGGCTGGTCCAATAGCAGTGGGTTATCAGACGTTATTAACATTAGTGTCACTAAAGTTGGTATACAACCCCCCCACACACTGCTGAATTTGACTGGCTTAAAAAAAATAAAGTCATAACAAACCCTTGTTTCAAAAAGACAAAAAATAAAGGCCAGTACTTAGCTCAGCAGCACAGCAAGGTCGTGAGTCTGATCCCTGGTAACAACAACAACAAAAGCAACTTCATATTGTTCAGTTTCATGGTCTGTTTACATTTAGTGTGGTAGAGGATCTGCAGGACTCCAAAAATGATGGTGACCTTCTCCTCCTCTCATTACTGAGTATGGAACCTCATCCATGCTAGACAAATATTCTCTTCCTGAGCTATATCCCCAGTCCCATATTTTTGTCTACTTACAGTGTCATCCAAAGCCAAAGGTCCTTGACAATACAGTTTTTCATCATCTATCTTCTGTCTGTCTGTCTATCTGGGACAGGGTCTTGCAATGTAGTTCAGACTGGTTTTAAGCTTTTGGTGGGCAACCTTCCTGCCTCAGCCTCCTGAAGGATGGTGGGATTATAGGCATGCACCACCACAATGGGCTTTGTGACAGTTCTTTTTTTTTTTTTTTTTTTGTCTTTTTCCTTTTTCATCAGTACCAGGGATCGAACTCACAACTGCCTGCTTGCAAGGCAGGTGCTTATGCTGCTGAGCTAAACCCCCAGCCCCCTTCGTGACAGTTCTCATTGTCATTTATTTCAGTGCTTGGGTCTTCCACTGTTATGACTTCAAAAATTTAATGTTAGCCAGGCCTGATGACTCACACCTGTAATCCTAGCACTTGGGAGGCTGAGGCAGGAGGATCCTTGTGAGCTCGAGACCAGCCTGGGCTACAAAGTGGGTTCAAGGCCAGCCTGAACTGCATAGAGACCCTATCTCACAAAGATAAAAAAAAAATTAATGTTAATTTTATTGGTTTTTATACTGAGATTGAACACAAGGGCATGCTATCTGTGACCTGCATCTCCAACCTATTTTATTTAATATTCTTTTTTTTTTTTTGGTCATGTTGTTACTGTGTATCCTAGACTGGCCTTGAAGAACTCATGGCCATCCTCCTGCTTCAGCCTCCCAAAAGCTGAGATTACAGCATGTGCCCCCATGCTCAGTTTATTTCATTTATCGACTTGTTTATTTATTTAGGTATAGAGTCTAGCTAAGTTACCCAGGCTGTGCTCAAGTTCACAATCCTCCTGCCTCAGTCTCCCAGGAAGCTGAAATTACAGGCACGTGGTGCCATTAGGAAGTTTAGTGTTTTTTGAAGTTTCACCCGTGCTTCTCATCTCTATTTGCCCACGGCAAATGCATCCAGGCAGGCAGCAGAACTCAGCCTGCCCCATCTCCTAGAGCACTTTGCAGCAGACGTGATTTTGATTCAGGGGCTGAGGATGAATCTGGGCCCCTAGGTGCTAGGCAAAGCGCTCTGCCAAGGAGCTCTGGGCCCGGTTTGGGACACAGGGTATTTACCATGGCCTGCCTCACTTATTAGTTAACCATATTCTCTCTCTTCCCCTGGGTCTGGAGGTCTTACTCCTTTCCCATGGCTCCCTGAAAAGTGGGTGAAACGTATCCATTAGTGATTATCAACCACGTGATGCACACACATTAACTTGAACTGGAACATGACCCGCTGGGCCAGTCTCCCAAATTCTTGGGAGAGCGATTTGTGCATGCAGGCCAAATGGATAACATTAGAGTGTTTTAAAAATTCAGTGTGCAAAAATCAGTAAGTTTGTTATTATTATTATTATTATTATTATTATTATTTGACAGTCTTTACCCAGCAGTTTCTGATTTCAAATAGTATCTTATTTCACTTATTTATTTGTCTTTGTGAGACAGGGTCTCATTATGCAGTTCAGGCTGGCCTTGAGTTCACTGTGTTGCCCGGGCTGGTCTCGAACTCACAAGGATCCTCCTGCCTCAGCCTCCCGAGTGCTGGGATTACAGGCGTGAGGCACCATGCCCGGCATTTCACTTAATTTTTTTGTTATTCTAGAAGTTTCTGATTTTTAATCTCTGTTTCAAAATAGGGAAGTTTCAAAATATATTCATATTTTAGGGCTGGGGATTTAGCTCAGTGGCATAAGCAGCTGCCTTGCAAGCAGGCCGTCGTGAGTTCGATCCCTGGTACTGATAAAAATGAAAAACACAAAAAAATTTTTTAAAAATCATATTTTAAAAATACATTTCAAACTCATATATGGTAGATTGAATAGATTTCTCTAAGTGATCATGTTATGTATGAGACTCTTCAATTAAAAAATATTTTGTTTGCCTGAGGACATAGCTCAGAAGCACAGTGCCTGCCTGGCAAGTGCAAGGTTATGGGTTCTATCCCCAGTACCAAAAAAAAAAAAAGGGAGAGAATCTTGTCTGGCATGGTGGTACATGCCTGGAATCCTTGCACCCAGGAAGCCGAGGCAGGAGGATGGTCATGAGTAGAGGCCAGGCTGAACTACATACTGAGAGACTGTCTCAAAGAACAAAAAGTAAGAGAGGGAGAAGAATTTCTTAGCTGGGCTGGTCTTGCTGACATGTGGTAAGGTAGCAGAACACGGCAGAGGTAACATCGCATGAATTCCAGTTTGTCCAGTTTGGCCTCAAGAGGACTTACAGCTTCTGCTCTTGGGATGGATTCTGCTGTGAGGCTATAGGTTACGGAAGGACGGGGGCCCTCAAGGAGAGGGCGGGCCCACTGGGAGCCAGCACTGAGGCCTAGATGCAGGAGTCCAGTGTCTCAGACCTTCTGTCAGTGTAGGTGTGATGAGAATTTCCCAGTCCACCTAGAGCATCATAACAACAAATTGTCCATATCATCATCAGCATTACTATGATTTGCAGTGTAGGGATTGAACCCAGGGAATTCACAGTGACTTATATCCCCAGCCTTATTTTGAGTCACCAGATTGCCCAGATGAGGCTCAAATATGGAATCCTGCCTCAGCCCCCTAGAAGACTGAGCTTAAAGCATGCTCCACCACGCCTGGCTTGTTTTGCCTTGCAAGGTTAGGGTTAGCAGGAGGCCCTGACTGCTGTTGAATCCCTGGGCTCAAGTGACCTTTTCCATCTTGGTCCCCTGACCCACCGCTGGGACTAGAGGCCCGCTAGAATGAGTTTATTTAAGCTCACAATTTGGAGGTATTTACCCGAGATCAGGCGGCCCCTCGGTTTGGCTTCTGAGGACAGCAGGTGGCAATGGCCAGAACACAAGTAGTCACAAGATAAGGCAGGAAGTAGAGGCAGAGAATCAGGGGGTCCTGTAAGACACGGCCCCAATGAAGCAAAGACTTCCCGTGAGGCCCCACCTCTCAAAGGCCCACACCACTCCCAAAACCCCCCTGAAGGACCGCGCCTTTATATACAGATTTTATTTTATTTTATTTTATTTTATTTTGTCTTTTTCCTTTTTATCAGTACCAGGGATCGAACTCATGACTGCCTGCTTGCAACGCAGGCGCTTATGCCGCTGAGCTAAATCCCCAGCCCCTATACACAGATTTTAGAGGACACTTAATTCAAACCACAGCACCAAGTTTCAATTATACAAATAAGCGAGAGGCAGTTAGAAGTAACGTGTTCAGAAAGCAGCTGTTTGAGGTTGAAATCAGCAAATGATTTTATTTAATTTACTAAAAGGATGATAAATATATGAAATTTAGTAACAAATTTATTATTTTTTATTTATATTTTGTTACTAGGGATTGAACTCATAATCTCTCACTTGCCAAGCAGGTGCTTATGCCCCTGAGCTAAATCCCTGGCCAGTAACAAATTTATTAGCTGCTGGGTATCAAGCATTCGTGACTGTTATAGACACCAAGGCTGGGCTATAATTTCTCTTGAAGCTAATAATGAGATGAGCTTTTTCAGTAACTCAGAAAATGTAAAGGGCAAGAAAAGCTTTCAATAATAATAGTTCAGGAATGTAAATCCTCAAATGAATGGACCCTTATCTATGGATTGGTTAAGTCTTATTGTACTTTCGGAACTGGGTTCATGAAAAATATAGGAATCCAAGCAGCCAAATTGATAAATTTGGGATTTAATTAGCAGAGCTCAGCAACCACCCGTTTCAGAGTCCAAACAAGTGGTCCTGAACTGGAAAGTTACAGAGCTTTTAAAAGAGGAAAACACAAAAAGACATCCTGATGGAAACAATTGAGCTAGAGTCTCATATTAATTTTTGGTTGACATTTGTATCCTGCTTCTTTGTTGAGCAGGTTAATTTTTGTGTGTGTGTGGGTATAGCTTATTTTGCTTTTCTCATGGGACTTGTACCCTGACCGGCGCAGCTCCCCAATGAGACAGGAGACGCGCTTGTGGGCGACAGTTAACTGCTGCTTTATTTACGGGCTCTGGTTTATATATTTGGCCGTGACCAATCACAGGCTGCCACGAGGAAGCAGGGCGGGAATGGGACGCAGGCTCTGGCTACTATATCCAGCTGTGGCCAATCAGGAGTTGCCACAGAGTACGGAGTGAGCACGAAGTGCGCACGGGTTGGCTAATTTAAAGAGGGACGTAGCGCATTGCGGAAGCTGGCGTGGTCCTTAGTCCCAGGTGGGGTATGGTATGTTGAGCGCCTGCGCCCAACAGTACCCTGAGCAATTTTTTACTCTTTTGAGTCAAACACAGGGCACAAGATGGCATTACTTATGCCAAGCTTCAATACTTTCAAGAATCAATACAGCCAGGCATGGTATTGCATGACTGTAATTCCAGCATTTGGGAGGCTGAGGCAGGAGGATTGCTGCAAATTCAAGGCCAGCCTGAACTGCACAGTGAAACCCTGTCTGAAAAAACTGAGAGAGAGAGAGAATGAGAAAGAGAGACAGACAGACAGAGAGAGAGACAGACAGACAGAGAGAGAAAGAGACAGAGAGAGAGAGAGAGAGAGAGAGAGAGAGAGAGAGAGAGAAGGAAAGGAGCTGGCAGGCTGGGAATGTAGCTCACTGCAAAGGCTCTGAGTTAAATCCTCAGTACTGCAAAATAAATAAACAAACAAATAAATAAAAGAATTATACAATCTGTCCAAGTAAGGTTAATCCCAGGAACCCAAGGTAAGTTTGTCATTAAAAATCATAGCTAGGGGGCTGGGGATTTAGCTCAGCAGCATAAGCACCTGCCTTGCAAGCAGGCAGTCGTGAGTTCAATCCCCGGTACCAGTAAAAACAAAAAAGACAAAAAAAAAAAAAAAAAAAATCATAGCTAGGTGTGGTGGTGCATGCCTGTAATCCCAGCACTTGGGAGGATCCTTGCACATTTGAGACCAACAAAGTGCTGAGCAAGACCCTATCTCAAAAAAGACAAAAAACAAAACAAAAGTAATGTAAGGTAAACCAAAAACCAGAGACCACATGTAATCTTGCTGTAAAGCATTTGACAAAATTTGATACTCTTTTGATATAAATACTCAACAGACTTAGGAATTTTTTTTTCCTTTTTTTCAGTACCGGGGATCAAACTCACAACTGCCTACTTGCAAGGCAGGTGCTTATGCTGTTGAGCTAAATAAATCCCCAGCCCCTTGATTTTGAAGATCTAAAACGCCTTCCTCATTCTGTTCGGATCAGTTTTATACTATGTTTTATTATTTTTTTATTATATTGTTTTGTATGAATTCTCTGTATGCAAAGACATGAACAACTATTTGGAAGAAACGGGGGCGGGGGATTTAGCTCAGTGGCATAAGCACCTGCCTTGCAAGCAGGCGGTCGTGAGTTCGATCCCTGGTACCGATAAAAATGAAAAAGACAAAAAAAAAAAAAAAAAAAAGTCAACTATTTGGAAGAAACAAGAGACAATATGATAGGGTGCTGGGGATTTAGCTCAGTGGCATAAGCGCCTGCCTTGCAAGCAAGCAGTCATGAGTTTGATCCCCGGTACTGATAAAAACGGAAAAAAAAAAAAAAAAAAAGAGGGACAATATGATAGATAGTGAAGATCTCAGGTTGTCTAGCTTTGAAATTTATTGCTTTCTTATATCCTATTTTGTTGTTTAATTTTTAGCCCTTTAAAATAAAAAATTGAACAGTAGATTGCTCAGCTGAAAAATAAATTTAAAAAAAGAAAACAGGATGGTAGATGAGGGCAGGGATTTAGCTCAGCAACTTAAGAGCCTGCCTTGCAAGCCTGAGGTCATGAGTTCGATTCCTGGTACAAAAGAAAAACTGCTGCGATTTATCAAAGTGACACGCAGCACTTGGTGAAGAAAGCTTGAGAAAAGATGAAACAAAGAATCAAGAGTTGGGAGTCAATATATGTGTAACCCCAGCACTCCTGGAGGCTGAGGCAGGAGGATCCCAAGTCTGAACTGGAATTCAAACTCATTCCTTTTTATAGTTTGGATCTATGAAAGCCGGGTCCCTGTGTTTGCAAGTTGATTGGCTCACTGGTAGAGGTAGCCGACTGGCTGTTAGAGCAGGAGCCCGGGCAGAGGGTTGTCTTTGGGACTTGGCTTCCAAGGCTCCAGCAGGGCTTTTGCTTCTCTCAGCCTCCTGCCTGCAGGATTGAGCAGCCCGCCTCCCCTCTGCCCTCCCTTCCGACACGCCCTCCTGCTGGGGAGCAGGCAGAGCAGGACTGTAGCCTGTGAACTGCCTCCTTTAACTTGTGAAAAAGCCCAGAAAAGCCACTAAGATCCGTGTGTCTTAATATCCTAGCGGGGTCATCAGCCTCTAGGCAGCTGTGTCACACTGAGCCACACCCCAGCCCCACCGACCTCAGCCTTTCAGTGAAGTCTCTCTTCCAAGCAGACTGTAGAGCACGTGCTAGGCTAGGCCCTGTGGCCAGTTCAGGGGAGCAGGAGATTCCCGCATCTGTAGAATTCAGACTCCAGGGAGCGAATGCAGACAAGAGGCAGAGCGCAGGGGATGTTAGCCAGTGAAACGTGCTGTGAAAGGGAGAGAACAGATTTAGGGGTGGGTGGGGAGCAGTGGAGGTGTCTGTTAGAGACAGTGTCTCTGCTATATAACCCAAACTGGCCTGGAACTCAGGCCATCCTCCTGCCTCAGCCTCTCAGAACCTGGGATTGGGCATGTGCCACCATACCTGGCTTGCCTGGTTTAAATCGGGAGGTCGAGGCTGTCGTCTTGTAGGAAAGATGAAATTTAGACTCAAGCTTGGAGGTGAAGGACTCAGCCAATTGATTTTCAGTTGAAAAGTAGTCACCTCCCCCCAAAAAGAAAAACTGATCCAAGCATAGGAAATAACACAGATGCTCAAGAAGCTTCTCTTTTGATTACTCTAACATGAAGCTCTTAACCCGCACCTCAGGGATCTTTGGATACAATTTCCTTTGGCTATGATCGTAGCTGACAAATTCTGTTCTTACCAGTTGCTATGCCTGTTTGGATCCTTGAGTCTCTAAATCATCAAACTATGTTAGGGTTTTTCCTTTTTTTTGTACCGGGAATGGAACTCAGGACCCTGCACTTGCCAAGCAGTGCATGGGCCGCTGAGCTTTTCCCCTGCCCTCTTTCTTCTGATTTTCTGAGGTAGGGCCTCATCACATGGTGCAGACTGTGCTTGAACTCATGGCAATCCTCCTGCCTCAACCTCCAGAGTACTGGAACTACAGATGTGCACCATCACACCTGGTGTTCTTTTCTTTTCTAACCTTTTTATTAGTATATATTTGTACTATGTAATAATTACATTCATTTTGGGGAACTGCTACATATATATCGCATTTAATCATTTTTACTTCTGCTGGGTTAGCTTCCAATACCCTAACATAGAAGTAGGGGCTCAGTTTCCTTCAAAGTCTTATAGATAAAAGCCGGAGAGTAACCTGCACCCAACAGTTAACAGAACTGTCACTGCTGCTGGGAGCCCGGCCCAGGACAGGCCCAACAAGCATGTGACAGGAACAGAAGGAGGCTTGTTACCAGCTCGTGAGAAACGCGCCTTGGATTGCATCCCACAACCTGTCCTAATCCAGTTTCACGTCTTTCTCACTTATGACTAATGAACTCACATCCACGCCTCAACTTGAGAAGTGTCTGTGGTATGAGGTCACCGTGCTGTGTGGAATGGTAGAGCTGACAAAGAGTTTCAGCCTTTGTATTGCAGAAGTGCCCAAGACAGCTGGGCATGGTGGCAGCAATCCCTACTCAGGAGGCTGAGGCAGAGGCTCACTGAGCTACAAAGTGAGTTGAAGGCCAGTTTGAGCTACTTAGTGAGACCTGTCTCCAAACAAAAAAACAAACAAACACTAGGAATGCAACCACCTGCTTCTCCCACCCTTGAGGTACTGGGAATTGAATCCAGCACCTTTGTTCTGAGCTACATCCCCAGCCCTTTTATTGTATTATTTTTTATTTTGAGACAGGTTCTCACTGAATTGCATAGTTGCCCAGGGTGGGAGTGCTTCCAATCCTCCCCACCTCTGTCCCCTTAGAAAGTGGGCTACAGGGATGGGGTGAGTGTGTCTCAGCTGCTAGGCCCTGGAGGGCTGCTGAAGTCAATTGTCCCGGAGGACCAGGGGCTCCCGACAGCCCTGCCTCCCCGCTAGAAACACAGTCACACTCTGTTTCTTGTGTGCCTGGAGAGTCTAACTGATAGTCCTCCCAACAAATATTACCACTCTGTACTGGAAAAACTTTACAGCAACCAACAGAAGGGGAAAAAGATTAATTTTACAGAGGCTATTTTCTCAATCATAAAATCCACACAGAATCTGAACGTGGACAACAGAACCTCCCTGCAAGCTCTGTGGATGGGAAGAACGGCTTTAGCCTAACCTCACCTTCCATATTCTCCCGACCCAGTATCGATTAAAAAAATAATAATAAATAAGGGGCTGGGGATGTGGCACAGTGTTCAATCCTTTATATTAAAAAAAAAAGCTATTATGAGCTTAACAACATAATTTAAAACATTTTGAAGTGGATTTATACTATTAAATGAAGTGAATGAATGCACAGGCTGTGTGAAAACATTAGTTTCTTAGAAATTGAGTTGTGACTTGTAAGAACTAGTGTTAGAATTTTGTCTTTTTTTTTTTTTTTTTTTGGTACTAGGGATTGAACTTATGACCTAGCACTTGCCAGGCAGGCGCTGTGCTGCTGAGCTAAATCCCTGGCTACCTTTTTGTGTGTGTGTGTGTGTGTGTGACAGTTTTGTGTGTGTGTGCAGTTCAGGCTGCCCTTGAGCTCTCTTTGTAGCCTAGCCTGGTCTCGAACTTGCAAGGTTTCTCCTGCCTCAGCCTCCAGAGTGCTGGGATCACAGGCCTGCGCCACCACGCCTGGCAAGAAACTAGTATTATAGACACCTAAGTTAGGTAGAAGTATTGCTGGGGTCGGAAAGGGCTGTGGCTGGAGGCGCATTCACTGAAGGCCAGGCTTCCATAGCAGAGGATCTGCTCCTCCACATACTTCCAGGGACCCAGCCAGCCCCTTCCAGCACATCCTGTTGTCCTTTCCCGTTTGACCCCCACAGAATCAAGATTACCCAGGCGGCTACACACGTTGCAATCCTATTGGCTGAGCACCGCTTTGTTCCACCTCACAGCCAGTCCGGGCCCTCCCATTGGGTCAGTAGCCCAGGGGCCGGCCCCTGTAATCTTACTGACTGGTTCTGCCCTACCTAGAGCCCCCCTCACCTGGTAACTTTGCTGAATGAACCCCCTTGAGAAGGGGCGCCCCACTTTCTGCGGCTCCTCTGTCTTCTATTTATTTTGTCTTGGACAAAAGGTTTTTCAGTAAGTTCTTCCTACTCTTGGCCCCCACTGCTCCTAGAACCCACACTTGGGGGTTCCGGCCTGGGGCAGGCTGGCAGTTTCCCTGGATCACTACCTCTGCTGCTTTCAGAAGGCAGAAAAACCAAATAGTCCAGCAGGCAACGTAAAGACAGTGCTTTGGCCACGGGAGGCACGCAGCCTTTTTAAAGAAAGGAGAAACAGGTCCTGGTGCTTGGGACAGGAGTGGCCTTCTTTCACTTACCTGGGAAACAAGGCAGTGAGCTGACTTCAGCACTTGTGTCACAACCCACATTCCTCTTCTCCCCAGGCAAAGATTACTTTCAGGTCTCCACCTCGCTGAATCAGCTGTATCACGCTGCAGGTCCAAAGTCTGTCACCTCCCACCCCACACAGGCAAGCCCAGGCTGCAGCTACCTCCCTCCCCGAGACTGGATTATGAGAGGTCACAGTGCCGGGTGCATTTCAAGATGGGGCACAGCAACCCACTCTTACCTGGCCTTATTTCAAGTCATTCTGGATTGTTTCATCTTCATAAACAAAATCTCACAGGTCAAGGGTGCTCATGCACACACAATCCCAGCTACTTGAGAGGTTAAATTCAAGGCCAGCCTGGAAAATTTAGTAAAGTCTTGTCTCACTTAAAAATAAAGCCAGGTGGGGCTGGGGATTTAGCTCAGCAGCATAAGTGCCTGCCTTGCAAGCAGGCAGTCATGAGTTCAATCCCTGGTACTGATAAAAACGAAAAAGACCAAAAAAAAAAACCCAAAAAAACAAAAAAACCAGGTGTAGTGGTGCAGGTTTGTGATTGCAGCCCTCAGGAGGCTGAGGCAGGAAGATCTGAACCCAGAGACTAGCCTGGTCAACAGACACTTTTTTTTTTCTCGTTTTTTTGAGACAGGGTTTTGCTATGCAATTCAGGCTGGCCTCAAACTCACTTTGTAGACCACACTGGCCTTGAACTCAGTGATCTTCAGCATAAGACACTTTTCAAGGCCAAAAAAAGCAAGCAAGCCAGGCAGTGAGCAGGCATGCTGGCACACACCTGTAAATCCTAGCACTTTGGGAGACTGACAGGAAGATTGCAAGTCGGAGCTCAGTCCAGGCAATTACTTAGTCTTTTTTTCTTTTTTCTTTCTTTTTTATCAGTACCAGGAATCGAACTCACGACTGCCTGCTTGCAAGGCAGGAGCTTATGCAGCTGAGCTAAATTCCCAGCCCTACTTAGATACAGTCTTAAAAAAAAAAATCCAAATGACTTATTAAAAAAAGTTTTAGAGAACAAAATATGGCTATTAATACTTTTATTGACCCAAAACATATGGGACACAGTCTTCAAAAAGTAACTAAACAGATGAAATAGGACCCCCTCTCCCATTTTTTTTTTTGTCTTTTTGAGACAGGGTCTCGCTATGCAGTTGAGGCTGGCCTTGAGCTCACTTTGTAGCCCAGACTGGTCTCAGTGATCACAATGGTCACAATAATCCTCCTGCCTCGGCATCCCCTATTCTGGGATTATAGGTGTACCCCATCACACCCAGCTCAGACCCATATTTTTGATTAACCCGAGGCTTACAGAACTGTTCCAGGCAGGCTGGATATGGAGTTCAGAGGTGGGGACTTTGGTGTCTTAAGATTCCTATGTGGCTTAGGGATTCCCTCTACAGAAAACAAGTCAACAGAAGCCACACAACATGGCAAGTGTGAAATGGGGTAAAGTACAAAGCCACTTTAGCACGCTACCTGCCGTATGGCTAGGAGGTAACTGTTTGGTAGCCCTGGTATCTGCAGACTTACCAATGCAATGCTGAGAGCACATTTGAACAATGACTTCTATAGTTTAAGGAATAGTCAAGTTTTCCCTTGAAGACTGATCTTCCACGATCCACATTTTTATTTTATTGTGGTACTAGGACTTGAACCCAGGACCTCTGCACTGACCTATGCCCCCAGCCCTTTACAAAATTTTGTTTCTTTTTTTGTACAGGAAATAGAAAACATGACCAAGCACTTGCAAGGCAGGTGCTGTGCTGTATGCCCAGCCCAAGATTTTCCGCTTTGAGACAGGGTCTTGTTAAGTCACTAAACCAAGCTGGGCTAGAACCTGGTATCCTCCTTCCTCAGCCTCCCGGCGTGCTGGGATTACAGGTGTGCACCCGCACAAGCCTGCTAGGCAGCACACTGTACACAGCGCCAAGCCCTTTCACTTCTCTGTGTTACCTGGGCTTTTTTTTCCCCTCAGTTTAACTGACAGAAAAGGAAGCCTGTCTTAAAACAAACAAAAAACCAAAAAGAAGAAAAAAAGCAATCAACTTGTTTCATAACATTGTGAGTTCAAATTGAGTGTCTATTTTTGTATGAAGGGTAGCTCCCCTCTCTTCATTTTTTTCAAAATAACAACTACTTTTAAAGCATTTTGGTTTCTGTATTTAGGGCTAAAGTCCACTAAATGCATCCATACTTGCAATTTTCTTGTTTCCTTTTTTATCAATAACTTGTGCAACCACAAAATTTTCTTTCAAACATAAAGGTAAATACTTAACTGTGAAACCTTTTTTTTCAGTATGTGTATGAAAATTAATTTATTAACTCTCTGTACCCAGAGGGGAACATACCCTATAGTAAGCTTCTGTTTGGAGAGTGAAGTTACAAACAGTAAAAGTGTTGCTAACACTGGAGCCCGCAGTCTTACAAAAATGTCCCAAATGGGGAAAAGCAGCTCATCCCTGATTTTTCTCATTTGGTTGTCGGAGTTGGGCTATGAATTTCAAATGGCTAGTTTTTTTTCCTTTAAAAAGTGATATATTAAACTTGTTTACAGGATAATTAGCAAAAAGTAGAAAGGGAAAACAATGTACAAAAGATGATTAAAAAACATCACTCTCGAGGGACATCCACAATCTGAAAACAGTAAACCCTGAAACGCAGCATCTGTAACCGGCCCCCACCCCGCTTCCTCACTCAGAATAAAACAGCCACGCGGAGCTGTCTTTCTACTCTTTAAAGCGGGCCGAGCCCGGGGCCGGGAGTCCTGGGGCGCGGGGCTGAGTGGCACTGTGCCCGGCAGGGGCTGTCACTCGGGCTTCTTGTTCCTCTGCTGGTTGCGGGGCGAGTTCCTGAGCAGGCTGCGGATGCGCAGGTACATCCCCGTGGACTCGGCCAAGTTCTCGAACTCAAAGGGTGTGATCCCCATGGCGAACCTGCTCATGTCTGGGACGGGGCTGTGCAGCTGGGGGGCGGTCGGAGGCCTGGGGTCGCCCCCGTTGCTGATGTTGCAGTTTGGCACAGCTGTGCCGTTGCCGAGTGGGGCGGCTTCGGGCTCCGGCTCCACGGATTCAGGCTCTGCAGATTCAGGCTCTACGGGCTCGGGCTTGGACTCAGGTTCGGGCTCGGGCTCAGGCCCCAGCTCCTCCTGTGGGCCCGGGCCAATCTGTGTGGCCTCCGGGGCTGGACTTGGGGCCCGCTCGGCGCCCGCAGTCTCTGCACTGGGGGCTGGTGCCTCGGGCGCCTCCAGGACCTTCTCCTCTGGGACCTGGAGGTCCAGCTCGTGGGGACAGGGCGATGAGGCCACGGAGGTCCCGGTAAGGGGAGTGTCCAGCGGCGGGTCTGAGTCGCTGGCAGTGCCCTCCGTCTGCTCCAGGGCCGCCCAGATGCGCCGCTGCTGCTCCTCCAGCTCCTCCAGGGTCAGCGCATCCTCATCCACCGTGGCCGTGCCCCGAGGCTGCGGCGAAGCACTGGGTGTGAGCGGTGGGGTACCCTTGGGCAGCGGGGGCACGAAGACGGGCGGTGGGGTCCCTCGGGGCAGCGGTGGCTGGAACTGGAAGGCGCTGGCGCTCTGGGAGCCTTGGGCTGCTTCAGCATCTGCGGGCGTCGGGAGACACATGAGGGCTACGCTCGGGGCCACTATCAACCTGCTGTCCCCTCTACCTGGGAGCTCAGTGGTTGGCACAGGGAGCCGGGAACGGCCGAGCCCCATGCAGGAATAGGGGGCCTGGGGTCTGGGGCGCCACTCAGTGGCACCCAGCTTGGCCCCCGCAGGGCTGGACGCACAGTATCCCTGGTGTCACCGATCTGTCCAAGCCAGAGCTGGGACCCTGGGCCTCGGTCTCCTCCCACCACCGGGCTGGGCTCCCCATCGCTCCTTCCGGGTCGCTGGACAGCCACTGTCCTACCCCAGGTATCAGAATTGTCCTTGCCTCTGGGTCTCCCTGAAAACACTGGCCCAGCAGCACCTCCCTGCCGGCCCCACACTGCCCCCTGGTGGCGGCCCGGGCTGCAGCTCCTGCTCCCACCTACCGCCGGCTCACTGGCCTGTTTCCAGAGCCACTGTTAGGTCTGCGGTTTGCTCTGTGGCAGCAAATAGTCACACTGCTGTCCTCTGTGTACCACTGCAGGCCCCTACATTTCTACCAAAGTGAAGCTGGCAACACCCTGCTGCCATCCCTAGGTGACAGCACAGTGTGTCCTCTTACTCCTTCCCTCCTCAGGGTCTAGTAGAGGGGTCTCAAACACTGTAGGTTTTCAGAACACCGACAATTCAACTGGACCCTGAGCCCTGTGTAAAACTAGCCCACACCTCACTGCACGAATAACACACTGTCACTTAGGCCGAGAGAGGAAGCCAGGAACGACAGGTGACACACTAACTGCATCTTTGAGATGCAAATTATCATCTCTGCCCTCACTCCGAAAATAATGACTCGGCCGGCTATGAGGCGCATGCCTATGATCCCAGCACTCCAGAGGCTGAGACAGGAGGATTGTTGTGAGTTTGAGGCCAGTCTGGGCTACACAGTGAACTCAAGGCCGGCCTGAAATGCATAGTGAGACCCTGTCTTAAAAAGACCAAAACAAAATCAAAACAAAGTAGCTCACCCTGGCCATCTGGCTATGCTCCTTTTGTTCTCTGAGCACGTCCTCTTCCCCTATGATTATACCATTGGCGCTTAGGCCACTGGTGGTACAAAGGGCCCTACTCACTTTTGTGGGTCTTCTTAGAACGGGTCCCCATAGAACAGAATCAGTGCTGCCTGGACGCAGGAGTCTCGGGCCCGTCAAAATGTGGTAAGCGTTACTGAGCCCGACGCAGGGAGTGCTGACCTCAGTCCCCAGGCCTTCTACACCGTCTGAGCCTGGGTCTCTCTGGCTTCCTTCTTTTATGTGAAGCTGGGGCCAGAACCAGAGCAGCCCTTCCTCCCAAGCTCCATTCTGGCCCTCACTATGCAGTTTTAGGCTGGTCTTGAACTCATTACATAGAGCCTGGCCTTGTGGCCACCCGAGCACTGGGACTGTTCATGTGTTTTATCATGTCATAATTTCAACTGACTTCAGACATCTGACAGGCTACACAGAACAAAGGCGGCAGGTATAATTCAGGATGGGAACTAGAACAAGGAACACATTCTTGGCTGTGGAACACAAAGCTTGCATCCACCCCAGGGTTTTCTGGGGGCAAAAATCTAAACTACATTCAGAATTCCCAAGGCAAGCACACAGGCAAGGAGTGGTACCGGCCGAGGTGGTGCAGGGCTACCTGGCCTGCTGCCCACAGTGCAGGACGTGCCCAGAGTGAAGGCAGCACAGGCAGAAGGTGGGGTCTCTTTCCAGGTGGATGGGGGCTGACTTCCCCGTGGCCTGTCTCTTGGAGAGGAGCAGTAGCTTGTGGGAGTAACAGCTCAGAAGGCACCTGGCGGAGCCTGGCTCAGCTCTGTCCCTTCTCTTCTGGGGACAGGACCACCATAGGGGTAACAGGCTTTCCTCCACCAGTCCCAGCAGAGCGGCATTGGGTTGGACACTGCTCTGTGTGTGCTCTGCTGAATGCAGGGGTTCAGCCAGCTGGCCTGGCTGGCTCTCACCCCAATGCGATCCTGGAGACCGAAGGCGTGCGCCCCGCCTGCACAGCGCAGGGCCCTGTCCTGCTTTTCCAGAGAGATGGCCGCAGCATGCCAGGACCTACCCGAGTCCAGCTCCATGTCGGCAGGCGAGGCTGCGGAGCTGCCTTCCCTCCTCTGCTTCTTCGGGCTACCAGAGCTAGACTGTGACGAAGACCGCTTGCTGCTGGACTTAGCGCTGGGCTGTGGGAAGGACCAAGCAAACATGTTAGGGCGGACAGAGCACTGGACTCCAGGGACTGCAAAAAGCCGGCCTGGCCGAGGCCAGATAACTGAGGGGTTCATTAGCTAACAGTGCTTTAAATACCGCACAAGAAAAGGCCACAGACGTTTCTAGTCCACACCCTTGGACTCTATTTACCGCTTGGAAGTTAGAAGACAGGTAACTGGCAAACACATCCTTCTGCTGACAGGCCTGCATGGGGATGGAACCAAAGATCCTCCACTCCTGTGACGAAAAGAGAACAAAGGGTTTGGACTTGGAAAGCATCCTGAGACTGCGCTCCAAGGAGTCCAATGATACCCCCGCTCCTTAACTGGAGACCAAGAAAAGTAACTGTGTTGGTGAAAACAAAAAATGCTTACAAAGTGATCAGAATGGAACATGAAAGGTCACTGCACACAATCACTTGGTTCAGCATGGTCCCCATTACAGTCGGTAGAGGCTGCAGCGACGAGGCTGGCTCGGCCTCAGCCCCCTGCCCTCACGCCCAGTTTTCAATCCTGTCCCCTTTCCCATAGCTTCAGTATTGGTCCTTGAGGCTCAGTGCTGCTTCATGCACCTCTCCAACAATAAGTACCCTCTGTATGCTCAATGGGAACAATACAGACTTGGAGTTAGTTGGGTCAAAGGCTGGACAGCTTTATTATTATTATTATTATAATACTCTTAGGGATCCTCCTGCTTCAGCCTCCCAGGTGCAGGAATAACAGGTGTGCACCACTATGCCCGGCAAGCCCAGGCATTTCTACTGAGCCCTGGCAGGGGAACATGATGCAGCCTGGCACTCGATCCATGTCCAGGAGCTTCATCACACAGGGGAGCCTTGCTAAGTCACACGCTGCCTTGGGGCACTCATCATTTTGTGTCTATTCACTAGACCAGAAGCTCAGGTCTTTGGCCTCTTCCCTAATGCACAGACCCTAAGAACAGCAGAAATGTAGTTTTTATTTAAACAACATCAAAAATACTACAATAGTTAATTGCTGATTTTTGACACAGAAGATGAAAACTAGTCAAGAATACGTGTGAAAAACTAGTCAAAAACAGAATGCCGGCTGGGAATCTTAGCTCTATCACAGATGGAAAACCACTTCTCAATGTTAAGTAATTCTTAACATTCATAATATAAAAAAACCAAACATCAGTCTGGACGGGGACTTAGCTCAGCGGTATAAGCACCTTCCTGGCAAACACTACGTTGTGAGTTTGAGCCGCAGTACCAAAAAAACCCATAATATAGCACTGTCTCAGAATCATCTCACATTGAATTTTTAAAAATGTGGTACTCGATCAAACCCAGGGGTACTGAAACCCTAGACCCTTTCCCAAGACACGGTCTCCCTAAGTTGCAGTTGTTTAAGCTGATGTCAAATTTTAAGATAATTTTAAGATATTTAAGAGTAAATGAGGCTACAGTTAAGTATCACCACGCCCAGCTGAAAAATAAAATCTTTTAATTTTAGAATAATTACAGATTTAAGAAACCTCATTAATCTACTTTATCTCTTATATTGAACATAGCATCAACAGCAAACTGACTGTGATGAACACAAGATTTAAGATTTTATTCAGGAAAAAGGAAATGAGGCCTGAGATTATAAGCAGTGGTAGAGCATTCCCCTCAAACAGTCAGGAAGCGCCTGGGGCACCACCAAAAACAAATCACAAAGTTTACTTCTCCCTCTTCTGAATCAACCCAGATCTTTTGCTCTCAGTTACACCCCAGACCTTTCTCATAAACTGTTTTTTTAACTTTGGGACAGGTCTTGCTAAACTGCATAGGCTGGGCTCACACCTATAATCCTGTCTCATGCTGGGTTCTTTTTTGTTTTTGGCAGTACTGGGGATCAGTCCCAGGGCCTTCAGCATGACTAACTTACTTCTTTATCTAATGACAACAACTATGTAATACCTTCATCTTTAACATAAAAATATTTCATTGCAGAAGGATTTTTTTTTTTTTTTAAACTTTTTAACGGTACCGGGGATCGAACTCGACCGCCTGCTTGCAAGGCAGGTGCTTATGCCACTGAGCTAAACCCCCAGCCCCTGCAGAAGGATTTTTTAAAAAACTTACATCTGGAATTCCTCTGGGAGTCGATATATTAAAACCTGGGTAGTTCACCAATTTTGAGAGATCATAAGTGACACTTTTATTCTGATGTATTTCTCCAACTTCCGTCTCTCCATCAGCATCATCTATTATAGACCATCAAAAGTATTAATATTGCTAGATACTCACACATGCTCTTCCCCAACCAAAAGTACACCTGGAAAGTGCTTACCTTTCAACATTTCAACAAAATTTTAGTCCGGGAATGACATTAATTATAGTTTTTCTAAACTATAGATTAGAATTTTAAAACAACATGGACATATTAGTATGATAAACACAAGTATTTAAAATCTTAGAAACTCTAGTACTTTCATAGGTTGCTTAAAAGTCTATTTTTAGCCAGGTGTGGTAGCACATGTCTGTAATCCCAGCACTAGGGAGGCCGAGGCAGGACTGTCACAAGTGAATTCAAAGCCAGCCTGGAATACACAGCAACACTCTATCTCAAAAAAAGTCCATCATTACACTTTGTCTAATGTTTGATTCCAGTTCTTCTACTTAATAAACATTTATGTAGGGCTTACTATGTGCCAGACAGTATTTTGAGTCAGTCCTTTATTTTTACAAACAAGAACTCAGGAGATCTTTGTAACAGCACTGAAAAGTATTACTACCAAAATACCTTTTACAGATGAGGAGTCTTTGAAGGATTATTTGTGAACTGCTTTATTTAACTCTGAAAACTACTGAATAAATCAAATATTTATTTTGTTTTCTGGGGATCGAGCTCACAACCTCACATTTGCCAGGCAAGCATTTGTGCCACTCAGCTAAATGATCAGCCCCCAAGGATTTACTTTGCCTGTTCCATAGTGTCAACTTAGGTAAGGTTACCAAGTAGTTTATGAGAATTTTCTCTTGCATAAGTACTTTAGCTAAGAAGCTAAGAAGCAGTGAAAGAATGAGAGCCATCATTGCAGTCATTAGTTAACAGGTGCAGGCAGTGCCTGTGGTGACTGATGCCAGTACGGCTTACAGGAAATAAAACATACTGTGAAAAAGGAAGCACCTGAGCAACACCTCAGGGCTGCATCAGCAGGATCTCAAAAACTCTTTATAAGGGGCTGGGGATTTAGCTCAGTGGCATAAGCATCTGCCTTGCAAGTGCGCAGTCATGAGTTCAATCCCTGGTACCCAAAAAACAAACAAACAAACAAAAAAAAGTCTTTACAGCAAACCACAGCACTGTTCTTTTTTTTTTATCTTTTTCCTTTATATCGGTACCGGGGATCGAACTCACGACTGCCTGCTTGCAAGGCAGGCGCTTATGCTGCTGAGATAAATCCCCAGCCCCAGCACTGCTTTTTTTTAAAAAGGAAGGAATTAGGGCTGGGAATATAGCTCAGTGGCTGGTCCTGAGTTCAAGTACCACTACCAAAAACAAACAAATAAATAAATAAGGATTACAGATGAAAGATTGAAGAGATTTTCAATAATCTACCATTTTCTGGCCAAAGAATTTTGATTCAAGCAAACTAAAAAACAAAGCAAAATGAAAGCTCAACAGGTGACAGTTGAGGTGACCCTGATAGACTAACACGCTGTACCTTTTCCATCGTAGAGGGCAAGCCCTGAGTTCTCCAACTCAGCCTCCTTGAGCCACCCTGGTGGGTATCCTAGCTGGCGCATCCGGTAGATAAAAGGGGGGAGACTCTTGTCCGTCACCCCCAGGGCATCTTGAAGTTCCTCACTACATAAAAATAAGAGGAAAAATGTACTGACTCCCATTTGCACGAGAACGTACAGTGTCCTGGTGTTGGAAAACATTTTAGTTTTATTTACACAGCATGGAACACGGTGCCTAGTACGCAGTGTTAAGATTTCAGTAACTGGGCCGGGGGTTTAGCTTAGTGATGTAAGCACCTGTTATGGCAAGCGCAAGGTTGTAAGTTTGATGCCCCGTACCAAAAAAAAAAAAAAAAAAAAAAAAAAGATTTCAGTCACTGTTTTGGAGTGACCTGAGTGTCTCAGGCAGGTCTTGCTACAGCACGCTTCCACCCTGATAACTACCCTGCAAAGATACAGAACATTCCCAACACTAAGGGACGACCTCCTATGGTAACATGAAGGCCGTACCTTATCACACCTGGCTTGAATTTTCCAAATCTTTCTTCAACTTCTTCTGCGTGGTATCGCTGCTGAAAATTCTGATTGTTTGCCTCACTACAGGCGTCCATATATTCTTTTCTCTTCTCACTGATTCGTGCAGCATTCCGGGGCTAAATCATAATGTGTTAACAAAGAATGGTATTAAGCAATTTAGAGACAGCTCAGAAATTAATCACTTCTCTTTTAAGTAAGTGAGTTGTGTTAGTTTGCTGTTTTTCCTTTTTTCTGTTTTAGTTTCAATATGTAACAGTCATAAAAGGAAACAGGTGCTTTTGGAAAGTGAGTAAGAAGAAGCAATCTCTTTAATTTCCTCAATTTTTTTTTTTTTTTTTTTTTTTTGAGACAGGGCTTCACTATGTAGTTCAGGCTGGCCTCGAACTCCCAGATTCTTCTGCCTCAGCCTTGTAAGTGCTGGGATTACAGGCATGTGCCACCATGCCTGGCTCTTTTTGTTTTCTGAGATGGGTCTTACAATATAATTTAGGCTGGGCCTAAACTCACCATGTAGTCCAGCCTGGCCTGCTAGGATTACATGCCTGAGCCACCACATTTGGCTTTCAATTTCCTGAATTTCATCTCAGTGTTGCAACTTAAAATCAAACTTGCTAAATCCCCAGCCCCAAAAATCTAATGTCTTAAAACACAAAGATTTGCAAAGGTTCCAAGCTCAGTGGTAACAGGCGAGTAATAAAGAAGTTTCTTCACATCACATATCCGTGAATGTGTGAAAGACAAGCTTGGTTCAGAGACACTTTTTGTATGACAGTACTTTACCATCGGGCAGTCTTTCATCTGATGCTCTTCCGAACCACAATTGAAACAGTGAGGCTTTGGCCTAGGTAGTCAAAAAACAAAACAAAACAGAGATTTTCACAATGTAAATGAAAACATAAAAGCAAAGCTATAAATTCTAGATGACAGCAAAGTATCAGAGCAACAAGAAAGCAAGAGGATCACAGATCATTCTTGTCTGCCACAGGGGTACACGGACACCTCCCGTCCTCAGAGGTTTAAACGAACAGTGCCGTGCGGTCTTTTAACCAAGAACCACTCTGTTCCTGACTGATCGGCTGCCCCTTGGGAGTTCTGGGGGGGTTAAGTGGGATCTGCAGGTGACAGGGCAGGCAGGCAGATGGTTAGAAGACGGCAGGGCTCGCCTCTCCACCCCCCCAGCTGCATCAGGTGGGAGCCAGCTGGTTCAGGAACCACACGACTGGTGTCAGCACGGCCTGGCACTGACATTCCCACTCAGTCTAATTTACTTCAGCGTAAACCAGCGATAAAGATTAACTTTACAAGCTAAGAGTTTATGGCTTTTGGCATTTAAAAAAAAAAAAAAAAAGAATAAAACAAAACAACTCCCCACACAAACCTTTTTGCCTTTACTTGTATCTCTTGCCCTTCTAGAGAAACAATGTGGCTGAAGACTTGCTGGTACCTTTAGTGAGTTTTATTAAGGAATAGTTAGCATAGTCTGCAAAATTTGGTCAGCTTTTTAAAAAGGTGAACTTAGTGGCAAGATGCATAAAGGATCTTCATTCACTATGTAGGATACTTGGGTATTTCCCATCCTTCGGTAAGCTGAGGGTTTTCATTTAGAAGCGGTTGCCCCAATTTATCAAGGCAAAAATTAGTAAAATACAGGACACTTCCTACAACCTGCAGAAAACAAGTCAAAAAATATTGCTATTTAAGCAGGAAAAAAAGACATTAAATAATGTAAGACTATGATTACTTGTTTTAACAACTTATTTTTGGATGAAATTATTAGAAATACCAATCAACTCCCTAGCAAGGGAGCCGATGGTTAGCACGTGAGCCTGAGCGACAGCTTCGTCCCCCTGCTGTGCTGCTCCACTACCACCACTGCACTCTCAAAAAACCGAAGTGTCTACTCACTTGGCCCTTCAGCACTCCTGTTTCTTCAGCCAGACCCTCAAAACCTATGTTTATTGTCTTAATTTCCTTTGCTTGTTTACCCTTTTCCCTTCGAAACTTTTGGAGAAACTGTCTAATCAGAGAAACAATACAGTGTGCACTTGGGCACCTTTTATCTAGATTTGACAGTTGTTAGTAATTCGTCACATTTCTCGTTACACAAACATGCTTCCAGGCACTTGGAAGTCAGCTGTAGCTGTTTCACCCCTGAACAGCAGGAGCCTCAGGACAGTGAGAACACCCTCTTACAAACCACAACGTCAGGGCTAGAGGTTTAGCTCAGCGGCATAAGTGCCTGCCTTGCAAGCAGGCAGTCGTGAGTTCGATCCCTGGTACCAGTAAAAACGAAAAAGACCAAAAAAAAAAAAAAAAAAAAGAAAAAAAAAAAAAAACCCACGACGTCACTGCCATACGTACACAAATCAACTCACCAGCATCATCTGTGTCTGGTCTCCATTATCTTCCCCAAAGGTCCCCTAAATGATCCTTATAGGTTATTCTAGGATTTCACTAAGGTTCCAATTTTAGTACCTCCCTCCCTGTGGTACTGGGGATTGAACTCAGGGCCTCCTGAGTTCTAGGCAAGTGCTCTACTGCTGAGCTGCACTCTAGCCTTATTTTAATTATCTTTTTGTGTTACTGAAGGTTTAATTGTGGGTCTTCACACCGAAAGACATCCTCAACCTTCCTTCCCTTTATTTTGAGACAAGGTCTCACGAATTGACTAAATTGTCCAAGTTGGTCTTTTTTGGTCTTTTTCCTTTTTATCGGTACCAGGGATCGAACTCACGGCTGCCTACTTGCAAAGCAGGAGCTTATACCGCTGAGCTAAATCCCCAGCCCCTCCAAGTTGGTCTTGAACTCACAATTCTCTGCCTCAGCCTCCCAGGATGCTGGGATTACAGACGTGCACCACCATGCCTGCTTCCCAGCCCTTTTATTTTGACTTGGCCTCAAACTCACAATCTCCTACCAGGCTCCTGAGCAGCTGGGATAACAGGCTCATGCCACCACATCTAAATTGTTCTCGTCTCTTTTATGTAGAATGTTTGCCCCATTTGAAAACACACAACACTGCCATTCTTTCCACAACCGTGTCTCTAGCATCACTGCCACTAACCCAGTTGCCTAGGAGCTCAGCAAGGACCCTCACACAGCCATACTCATCAGAAACTGAGCAGCTGCTGTCTTTATCTCCCTCAGCCTGTGGGAACAGTGGACAGCGCTGTCCCCCCGCCCCCCAAACCCTCCTGTGGCTTCCAGCACCACCTTCTCTCTCAGCTCTCTTCCTGCCTCGCTGCCAAGCCTCAGCTGCTTTGCTGAACTTCTCCTGGACCAGCCAGCCACGGGGCTGTCTTTAGTCTTCTCTACCATCAGCCCTGGGTGAAGCAGCAGGCCCTGCATCTGAATACAGTCTAAGGGCTGAGTTCAGGTTGGCCTTGGACTCACTTTGTAGCCCAGCAGATGATTCTCCTGCCTCAGCCTCCTGGGTGCTGGGACTACAGATGTGCACCACCACGCTCAGCTTGGTCTCATATTGTACAGCCAACTCATCAACACACCTGAGCAGCTCTTCCTTCCAAGCACATCCAGCTCTGCCCACACTGCAACCTCATCACCATTGCCCTGCTCTCAGCTACCACAACAGCGTCTTACCTGGTTTACATTTTCTTTCTTTCTTTCTTTTTTTTTTGTCTTTTTCATTTTTATCGGTACCAAGGATCGAACTCATGACTGCCTGCTTTCAAGGCAGGCGCTTATGCCACTGAGCTAAATCCCCAGCCCCCTCTTTCTTTTTTGAAGCAGGGTTTTGCTATATAATTCAGACTGGTCTTAAACTCACTTTGTAGCTTAGGCTGGTCTCAAACTCACAACCATCTTCCTGCCTCAGTCTCCTACGTGCCAGGATTACAGGTATATGCCACCATGCCCAGCTTGGTTTACATTTTCTATACATAACCATCTACTGACTATTTTCCATGCAGAATCCAGTCCTTTTCAACTTGCAAGTCAGAATGGGCCTATAATCATAACACCTGGGAGCCTAAAAGGCAAGAGGATCGCCATGAGTTTGCGGCCAGCGTGGGTTACATAGTGAGTTCAAGGGCAGCCTGCAGTACACAGTGAGATCCTGTCTTATAAAACAAGTAATACGGCAGGGGATATAGCTCAATGGCACAGTGTCTGTCTGGCAAGCAAGAGGTCATGAAGTCAATTACAGAAAATAAAAAAATCACGCTGGGGATTTAGCTCAGCAGCATAAGAGCCTGCCTTCCAAGTATGCAGTCCTGAGTTCGATCCCCAGTAACAAAAATAAAAAAAAAAAGTAAAAAAAACCCAGTAATAATAATAATGATGATGATGATAAGCATTCAAGTCATGTTTCTCTGTAAAACCTTCCAGTGGTCTCTCACCCTCCTCAGTGAAATCCACTAGGTAGAAGCCCCCACTACGGCCTTTAAGGCCCTGGCACCTGCAGGCCTGGCTTCGTACTCTGGGCCTGCACCTGCCCCCTGGCGGTGTCTCCTCGAGTTTCTCCCTTAGGACACAAATGACGGCAGTGCCCGGGGAATGACAGGGTAAAGAGCTCATCACTCAGCACCAGAAGAGCCTCTCCACTACACTGCAGCCTCAGCCCGCCTCACTCACCCGATCCTGATTTGAAACTGTCACCAAGTCCTCATGGCAAGACAGGACCCACCTAGTGCAGAGACTCCCTCTTCCTCCTTCCCCTGCTTCACTTTGCTTTTGAAAGTGCTGCCTTCTCCCATGAGAATGTAATTCAACCAGAGCTAGGGTTTTGCCCTTTTTCATTGCTGTGTCCCTCAAAGAGGATGATTCCTCGCATAGAACCGTATCCAGTAAATAATTAATACAATGTTTACTAAAGGACTGAGTATATAAAATTCCCAATTTGTGTCACTTTAGATACCTAAACTTTATTTTTATTTTTGGTACCAGGGATCAAATTTACAACCTCACGCTTGTCAGGCAGGTGCTTATGCCACTGAGCTAAATCCCCAACCCGCAGACACCTAAACTTTAAAGTTTGAAGAGATGGCTGGGTGTGGTGGCACACTCCTATATTCCCAGCACTTGGGAGGCTGAGGGAGGAGGATTGCTGCAAATTCAAAAACAGCCTTGGCTACAAAGTCAGCCCAAGGCCAGTCTGAACTGCAGAGCGTGACCCTGTCTCAAAAAATAAACCAAAAAGCTAGAAAAACACAAAATTGGAAGAGACATGAAAAGTTACGGAGCTGAATTCAAAATCCTGTTGGTATTCTAGCCTGTAAATTCCAGGAACATGGAATTGATTTTTTGAAAATGAGGGGCTGGGGATTTAGCTCAGCGGCATAAACGCCTGCCTTGCAAGCAGGCAGTCGTGGGTTCGATCCCTGGTACCGATAAAAACGAAAAAGACAAAAAAAAAAAAAAAAAAAAGAAAATGAACCACAGGGGGCTGGGGGTTTAGCTCAGCGGTATAAGCGCCTGCCTTGAAAGCAGGCAGTCATGAGTTCGATTCCTGGTACCGATAAATACGAAAAAAGACTTAAAAAAAAAGAAAGAAAGAAAGAAAATGAACCACAGTACTTCATTTTTAAATTAATTTATTTATAAAAAGTTTTTTGACCCAGGGTCTCACTATGTAGTTCAGGGTGACCTTGAACTTGCTTATGTAGCCTAGGCTGGCCTCACATTCACAGTGATCCTCTTGCCTCAGCCTCCCAAGCGCTGGAATTACAGGCAGGGCCACCAAGCTCAGCACAATACTTTACTTTTAGAAATTTAATTTTTTTCTCCCCACCTCCTCTTGTGCCAGGAATCCCAGGGCCTTGTATGTGCCAGGCAAGTACCGCACCACTGAATTAACACTCTCGGTGTGGATTTCTAAAAGATGACTTAAGATCCAGCTCCTTGGATTCAACTCAATCACTGATCCTAGTTCTGACACTTGGCACTGTACACAGTGACCTGTGGCAAACTTTGTCTTATTTGGAGAAATGCAACACTGTTTATAAATGTTTTTTTTTTTATTTTTTATCGGTATCGGGGATCGAACTCACGACCACATACTTGCAAGGCAGGTGCTTATGTCGCTAAGCTAAACCCCCAGCCCCTGTGTTTTCAAGTTTGTAGCCATTCACAATCTCTATAGCCCCACATCTAAATCTAAGGTACACTGATAGTGACATCCCCAAAACTTGAAAACTGGTCGTCCTTTAATAGAATTCGGGACTTGCAAAAATCCAGCACCCTTATAAAATACCATCAGCTGCAAAATCACACATTGTATTGGGTACTGGCCTCCATGGTCCTGAAAGGCCTGAAGTCATGCCCTATTAAGCTCCTACTCTTTACACACTGGCTGAGATGCATAAGTTAAATCTCAGACACATCCTCTGATAAAGTAGCTATCTCTGCTTCACCAATGTGCAAGTTCAACAAGTATGTTTTCTAGATCTTTGAGTTCTTGAAGAGAAACATAAAGAGGTGGTTAGGACAAAAATAAGCTCTCCCAAAGAATGCCTGGAGTGCCCTACCTCCCACCCCAACAGTTTATTTAGAGGCTGAAGTCTATGCTATTGTTCCTGACAAAGGAATGCTGAGATATGAAAATGCATGACTATGCCCCTTTATCACCTAAATGTCACCCAACTGATAAAGACTAGGAATCATGCATCTGTAGAGTTCAAAAGTAAGATGTCCAAACTTACACTGAAAGCTTCCTTGCTGTTTTTCCTGGTACAGGATTCTTCTACTTTATGGTCCTCTTCCAACACGACACTGGATGGCTAAGACAGACAGAGATGTGCGTTACGGAGAAGACAAAAACACATTACCAACAACTCCCTTTATTTCCTGGTACACACCATTAAGGCACGCAATCTTATGATAGCTGGGGTGAGTTGGAAAGTTCAGGTAGGGACGTTAGTGAAAGAATTTTCACAAATGGGCAACTAAAACAGGTACCAACAGCAGCTGCCCGGCAGCACCAGCATGTGGTGGTGGCTCTTATGTGAGCCAGTGTGATTACGAAACTTTAAAATGTCCACATTGGCATGGTAGACTTTATTTTCAAAACAGACAGCCAAAAAGATTTTAAAAATTCGTAATTCAGTATCACTGGTTAGTATTGACAAAACAGCTCCGATAAACCACAAGCAAAGGTTATGGGTTTAATCTCTAACACCACCACCAAAATTCCTAAACTTTCCTTGAAGCCAGTATGGAGGTACACAGCAGTAATGCCAGCACTCTGGGAAGCTAAGGCAGGAGGATAGGAAACTCCAGCCCCGCCTGTACAACTTAGCTGAGATCCTATCTCAACATAAAAAATAAAATGTAGTTCAGTATGAAGACTATGAGTTCAAGCTCCAGTACCACCAAAAAAAAAGATTGCTTAGAGATAGGGTTTTAATAGTTTGCCCAAGGGCTGGGGATTTAGCTCAGTGGCATAAGCGCCCATCTGCCAAGTGTGAGGTCCTGAGTTCAATCCCCAGTACCAAAAAAAAAAGCCCAGAAATCATAATTCTGATTTATGGAACTATACACTCATGCTCTACACACATAGTGAAATTTGTCAGATCTGTTTAGACATGTTATTAGTTTTCTAAAAATAAAACAAGGGAGTTGGATGTGGCAGCACATGTCTGTCATCACAGCTCTTGGGAGGGAGGCTGAGACAGGAGGATCACGGTAAGTTTGAGACCAGCCTGGGCTACAAAGTGAGCTCAAGATCAGCCTGAACTGCACAGTGAGACCCTGTCTCAAACAGACAAAGTAAAATAAACAAAGTAAGAGGGAAAAAGGATGACACATATTTATTCCACTGGTTTTCTTTTTCTTTTTTAATCCATCTTTTTTTTTTTTCTTTTGGTACCAAAGATCGAACTCACAACCCTGCATTTACCAAGCAAGCGCTTGAGCCACTAAGCTGAGTCCCCAGCCCAAATCTGTCTTTGATAAACCTATAGTGTACAGAATTTTGTATTGGCCTGAATTAAATTTTTCTGCCCCCAAATCACGTATCCATTCAGGAAAAACAGCCAGGTGGGAATATGAGCTGCAGCTGCCAAGAGGCCAGGGGTGGCTGGGGCAGCCTTTGGAGATGGAAGCAGGCGGGAGGCGGGCAGGCCACCTTAATCGTCAGTCTGGTTTTGATTCGAGACCATCCCATCGCTGAGTAACTGGCAGCAAAAATGCATAACCTACTAATTGTATAGTCTCTTAAACATGAAATACCTGGGGCAAAAGATTAAAGGACGTTCTTTCCACATCATTTTTCTGCTGTTCCTCAAATCTTTTTACTAAACTTGACACAAATTCCTCTATTTCTTGATGATATTGCCTGTATAAGAGGACAAAATGATCCCAGAGTAAGACATTTAATAGAATAAAATCTTACACATTATTGTCAAATGTTATGTCTTAATTTTACTTTTCAGAGGCTTATCAAACTACTGACTTTTTTTTTAGTACCGGGGATCAAACTGAGGACCTTGCCCTTGCCAGGCAGGTACTTAGGCCACTGAACTAAATCCCTGGCCTTAAACTACTGACTTTTTATAACACTCAGGGACCTATTCTTAGGAAAAGCTAATTATTGCAAAGTTAACAAAATGATTACCATAACCTAATACTGGGCATGACATTGAACAGCAGCTGCCCTCCGGTTGTGCAGATAAATGTATTTTCTTTATAAATCCTATGCAATTAATTTTTGAATAAATCTTATGAGTACATGGCTCAAAATCCAAAAGAAGTAAAAAGGCTGCACAATAAAAAGCTTCCTCCGTATCTTGACAACTAGTTCTGCAATACAGAGATAATGCATTCAATTCTTCCATATCTTCCTCCCAGACTCTTTACATACGAACATCCATTTTAATAAGAAACTGAAATAGAAATGAAAATCAAGCATGCAATACAGGTAGAAGAAAAACAGAAGCTCTACTTTCTAGTCTTCTGGGTCAAGAACCATACAGGTCTTGTGATCTGCAATGTTCCCTTTAAAAAGTGATGTGCAGAGCCCAGACCTGTGAACTGCAGTAGGGAGCAAGGATGCTTCACACTCAGTTTCCTTCTCACCTGATGCTCTTCCAGGCTTTTCTTTTTTCCCCCCAAGGTCTCACTTTGTAGTTCATACTGGCTCTAAATTCTATGTAGTCCAGGCTGGCTTTGAATTTACAGCAATCCCCCTGCCTCAGCCTCCTGAGTGTTGGGATTACAGTCATGAGCCATCATACCCGGCTTTTCCTGCTCTTTCTAACTCGAACACTAAGATTTTTGCAGGCAAAACAGCAAGTGAATAGTGCAGAAATCAGTCCACTCTCCAGAGTTAGACTAATACCATTTCTCATCTAGAGGCGACAACAGAGCCAAAGGCCAGCTATCTCCAGCACCTTGCTGCAACTGCAGTCACCACCCTGCTTCCCCACTGACAGCATGGCTTCTACTTCTGTGAAGACACAGTGGGTTATGAATAGGCAGTGCCTTCATCTCCTCTGCAGTGCCCAGCACATGAAGCAATGACGTGATCTAATGACTCAGGAGAGGCAGGTGATTGTCTGAACTATCTCTCACCATGCTCCATGCTGCAAAGAGGTGACAGAGCAAGGCCTCAGACCACCTTGGGACACTCTCGCTAGCCTGCAGGAAGGCTCTGCATCATGGGACTCACATGCTGCAAGGCTTGCAAAGGTGTAGCTGTATTACTAAAGAAAAACCCTCACTAGGTATGTTATGAAGACACCCAGTATGGAAGGCCTCTGTTCCCCAATTCTGGGAGAGAAATGGCTCCCATCATTACTGGTAGTAGCAGTTATTTTATTTCTTTTCTTTTTTTTATTTGGGTGTTGGGGATCGAACTCATGACCTCATGCTTGCCAAGCAGGCGCTTAAGCCAGTGAGCTAAATCCCCAGCTGGTAGCGGTTATTTTATTAGGAGGGATTTATTGGGCCCTTACAGCGCTCTTTAGCCCCTGGCAGTAGTCAGTGCTGGCACAGCGTTCTGTAGGGGAAAGCTAATGACACAGAAGAGCTATATGACCTGCTAGGCTTACGGTGTAAAAACAGAAGTGCCAATTCCAATTCACACCTCTATGACTCCCCCAGGTTTTTGCTCTTAAATTGATTTCATACACTTTAAAGATGATATAAGCACAAATGAAAACAGATGGAAGACACTGTTTCATAAATGCATTAACTCATTGTATTTAGGAAAGGAAAATGTTACTTACTTTGAAATAACATTGTTCATAAATAGAATTTGCAATAAAGGTCCATCTAATTTAGTATTGTTCACCAATATTCCACTAAAACAGAAATTACAACATATTCTTAGACAATATTAAAGTAAAACTTACAAATGTTCATAAAAACTATACAGCCACATAATTTTTTTTCTTGGTATCGGAAATCAAGCGCATGACCTCACATTTGCCAGGCAGGTGCTGCCTTACAGTCAGATAACTTTTATAATACTTTGTCTGAGACAGGGTCTCACTATGTAGTTCAGGCTGGTCTCAAACTCAACTATGAAGTCCCAGTTGGCCAATTTGCAGCAACCCTCCTGCCTTAGCCTCCCGGTGCCGGGATTATGGGCCTCATAATTATGACACTCATGGCAACTGGCTTAAAAATTTTATCTCAATGATTTTATTTCTCCTTGTTCTCTGGAAAACACTTTACTAGTCTGAGAATATGGAGGACATTAATCCTAAAAAATACAAAATAAAGTGATTTATTCCTTTTTCATATTGAATATTCTCCTACAAACTGGCAAAATTTATAACGCTGTAATCATTCACTCAGGTGATTATCATCCCTTTTGTGTAAATGATGAACTATACTTGAAAGGTATGCTTATCCGGGCTGGGGACTTAGCTCAGTGGCATAAGCGCCTGCCTTGCAAGCAGGCAGTCATGAGTTTGATCCCTGGTACCGATAAAAACGAAAAAGACAAAAAAAAAAAAAAGTATGCTTATCAATATAGAATACCTAACATAAAATTTAAGATTTTGTCTTTTTGAAACAAGGACTCACTATGTAGTTCAGGCTGGCCTTGAGCTCACTTTATAGCCCAGGGTGGTCTTGAACTCACAATGATCCTCCTGCCTCAGCCTCTCGAGTGCTAGGCTCTAAAAATATTTAACACGTAATATCTAACCACAAAGTGTGCTCCAGAATAAGAAGGACAGGGCATGAGGAAGGTTTTTTTTTTTTTTTTTTGTATTTTTACCAGTACCAGGGATCGAATTCAGGACCACAGGCTTGCAAGGCGCAGGCACTTATGCCGCTGAGCTAAATCCCCAGCCCCAAGGAAGTTACTCTTAAACACTTCCAAAATTCTCAGACTTCAGCTTTCATTCAAAATGTAGCCAGCTTTTCCAGCCAGCTCTACGGACAAAAAAATGCAGGAAACTGACATCATGGTTCCCTCCAACTTTGAAAGCTTCAAAATAACACTCCATACAATAAATTTGTACTTTAAGGGCTGGGGATTTAGCTCAGGGGCATAAGCACCTGCCTTGCAAGCAGGCAGTTGTGAGTTCGATCCCCAGTACTGATAAAAAAAAAAAAAGACAAAAAAAAAAAAGAAAAAGAAAAAAAGAAATGCTAATAAATTTGTACTTTAATAAATAACTTAGATTTAATGATGGTAAATTTATACTGAAGTACTAGCATTTGAGCTGCTAAAACCAGATTCCTGAATATAAACCTATACACTGTACTTTTCCTCAAAAGCTCATTAATTTTTCTTTTAAAATGTTGCACTTTGCAATTGTTTCTGTTTATGAACACATTTTGTGTAAATAAATTTTAAGCTATAGTAATATTATAAATTTAAACTTTCCAGAAATATTGAATCACAATTACTGAAGCTGACAACTTACTTAATTATTCTGCTATTTGGTCAAAATTTCCCACATTGTGCTACAACAATATTTTCACTCAGTAAATATGTTTTTTTTTTTTTACTTTTTTTTTTTTTTTTTTTTTTTTGTCTTTTTCATTTCTATGGGTACCAGGGATCAAACTCAGGACCGCACACTTTCATGGCAGGTGCTTATGCCGCTGAGCTAAATCCCCAGCTCCAAACATGAGTTTTAAATTTCACTCAATTTAAGGCACTTTTGAGAATTCAGATTTTAGTTGCAAAATTTAAGAATAAAAAGTGTTATCTCTGATTCCTTGAGAATATGCTAAAGAGAATGATGCAAAAATCCTAGACAAGTTTTACAAAAAAATCCCAATTAAACTTAATATCCAGATAAATAATACAGTACGTAACAACTGTGGTGTAATTTTAAGATCTCATACCTGGGTCGAGTCAGAATGTTCAATTTTCTTTTAAGTTCTTGATGTTATCACTTGTTAAGGCGTATTAACACTCATTAAACAGTATTATCTTGCCATAAAGTTCAACATTACTATGATTCTCACTTTTGGTATCAGAATGGTACAAACATAACACTCTCACATATTTTGAAGAGGACACACCAGACTGTTTACCGGCCAAAACGATACTCAACCTAGAAACCGAAATACAGTTTTCAATCCTTTGAATATATAAGACAAGATACTAATGTTCAAAAGAGTCTAACAGACTAAACCAAAAACGTTATTCGACAAGAGTATTCCTGACACGAAGTTTAAATATCCAAGTAGGAACGTTTTCCAAGTCATGACTGATACTTGTGGCCTAACAACTACTGAAAAACCTTGAATGTAATCTATGAACGTTCATTGTACATTCTTTTAACTTTTTTATTTCGAACTTCTTGATAATAAATTGTCAAGGAAAATAGAAACGTGCCAAAAAAAAAAAAAATCAAGACTTCAAACTTAAAAAGCCGTATCAATACTGAACACTTTTAAGGCTTTTTACAAACTGTAAAAGGAAAGATCTGAACCAAAATTATCTGTAAGTGGTTTTAAAACGCTAAGATCACAAATAAACGTAGTTGCAAACCAAGAAAATCTGTAATTGTGCGAACTTACTTGGTCCATTTTCCCTAAAGGACTTCAATGCAAGTAGGACTGCAATACAAAGTAGCTCAAGGTGCAAGAACCCTGAAATTAGTTCTGGATTTTAAGGAATTAACCTGACTCCCAAGACTCTCAACTTGGCATCCTAACAGCATCAGCGCCTAGCCCGCCACAAAAACTCATCAGCGATCCACGGTCTCCTAACGCAGCTGGGTCACGAATATCTCCACTTGCGCTTAGCGGCAACGAGTGAGCCGGGATAACGACCTCAAAGACAGACAGGGAAGTGGGGACCGGTCCGCGCGCACGAGGAGGACTGCACGCCTCGCGCCGGAGGGGGGAGCAGCTCGGACAACCCGCACCTGCACTCTCCGCCCAGCAGCCGCGCGAACCAGCGGGCGAGTCACCTCACTTCCAACGCGGGTCCTCCCGGAACTGTCGCCGCGCCCGCGCGGACCCCGCGGCGCGGTGACAAGGCCCGGCCAGCCGGAAGGATATTCTCGGCGCGGAGCTGCTCCACGGTCTCCTCGCACCGCCGAAGCCGCTCCCGCAGCTCCGCGTCGCCGCACCCATTCTCGTCCTCCTCTTCCTCCTCCTCGTCCTCCTCGTCGCCGTCGTCCTTGAAGCGGGTGTGAACGGGCTTCGGAGTCGACTCCTCCGGGGGGTCGAACGCCTCGAACAGCTCTAGGTCGCCAAAATCCACTTCCGCCGCCATTTTAGGTGGTGGGAAAGCTTCGAGGAGAGGCGGAGCCAGCCGCGGGAGCTGGGGACGAAGGTTGTAGGGCGGCACCACCGCTTTCTAGGGCTTCGACCCGCGTCGAGCTACCCGGTAGAGTTTTTCCCAAACACGGGCCGCCACAACCGCACCGGAGGCGGAGCCCAATCGCGAGAGACTACAGCTCCCAGAATGCAACGGTGCGTCTCACTTCCATTCCGCGATTGCCTAAAGCGTGGCTTGCGGATACGCGTGGTTCCTAAGCGACTCTTCATTGTTTGCATTGCATGCCGGGATTGTCAGTTTTAAAGGCGAAGAACGCCTGATGTGCTAAAAAGGTGTAAAAAGATATGGATTGTCCCTGTTAGGCCACTAAGGCTGAAGAATCAGCACGACGCGTGACTTTTTTTACAGATTCTGGTGTGTGTGCTAAATCACAAGAAAAAGGATCTTCAGCTTTGTCATGGACTACTACTAAGTTTGTGATCTTAAACTAGTTTATTGGAGTTTTCTTTTTTATGCAAAATTAGCTCATTTATTAAATTTGCCGGCCTGGTTGTGCACATCAGTAATTTCGCACTGGGAGGCTGAGACAGGAGGATCTCTGCGATTTTGAGGCCAGCCTAGCCTACGTAGTGAATTCGAATCCAGCCTGGACAGCATATCGAGAACTTCCTCAAAACAAAACAAAACAAAACAAATTGTCTGATGAGGACTTCTGTGGTTTTTCATGTTAACGCATTCATTCAATAACATTAACTCATAACGTGTCAGGCATTTGTATGGGTTCTGAAGATGCTGGAATGAGTAAAATAGCGAAAATTCTGCTCTCAAGCATATACACAAAGCCAAGAAACAACCAAAAAAGGCTCCATAATTATAGATCTTCTGCTTTACAATCGAATGTGTGTTGAGGATTTTTCCTCATATTAATGTGAAAAATACAGGCTATTTGAGTTCGATCCCTGGTACCGATAAAAACGAAAAAGACGTCCCCCCCCAAAAAAATACAGGATATTGCCAGGTGTGTCGGAGTACACCTGTAATTCTAGCACTGTTGGGAAACGAGGCAGAAGATAAGTTTGAGCCCAGCCTGGGCAAATTAGCCACTCAGCAAGACCATCTTATTAAAAAAAAAAAAAAAAGAAGCCTGGAATACAGATCCATCTCCATTATTCTCCATCCAGGAAAAAGTCAGGATTGAGAGTATTGAGAGTATTTAAGAATTGAGAGTATTTAAGAGGGCCAGGGATATAGCTTAGCAGCACAAGCGTCTGCCTGGTGAGTGTGAGGTCCTAAGTTCAATTGCCAACCAAAAAAAAAAAAAAAAAAGGGATAAAAATATCTTAAGTCAATAAAATGGCATGGGAAAGGCAGTACTTAGCAGAACAAAGGTGGAACGTTACTAGGCCAGTAGTCCAAGTGTGTGACATTTTTTCTCAACCTCCAACACTGAGAAGTCATTTAAATATTTTAAATAAGTGATGTGTTTACCAGCAAGTTTTCATTTTGGTAAGGTTGTCCTGGTTACAGTGTAGAGGACAGACTAGAGGTAGAGCAAAAATGAAATTCTGAGGCTACTACACAGGGTGATAAGATGTTGGCACTTGTATTAGCTAAATCAAGAATGTTAGTGGTAGCCAGGTGTGGTGGTGCACAACTGCAATCCCAGCACTCAGGAGGCTGAGGCAGGAGGTTCGTCAAGAGTTTGAGGACAGCCTGGGCTACATAGTGAGTTCAAAACTAAAACTACACAGTAAGACTGTCTAAAAAGGAGGGGCCAGCTGGAGATTTAGCTCAGCAGCTTTTAAGTGCCTGGCAAGCGTAAGATTGTGAGTACCAAAAAAAAGAGGAGGAGGAGGAGAGAGGGGAAGAAAGAAAAGATGTTAGCTTCATACTAGGGGTGAAACACAATAGCAGAGTGCTTGCCCAGTGCCCTCCAGGCTCTGAGATTATTTCAAGTGCCCATGTGACACACACAGAGTTTGGATTAGGTAAGTGGGACAATAGTGATGAAGAACATTGGTTATTTAGAAGATTTTGAAAGATGAAAGTAAATCAAGAGATCTCAATTAATGACCAGATACTGGGTAATGAGAGAAAGAGGGTCATATGTGGTTTGCCCAGACTGTGATTTAATCTGGTTGTGTAAGTGATCATTGAGATTGAGAACAATAGGTATAGATCAGACTTGGGAGCTAAGGTTCTACTATGTATTTGGTAACTTGAGGCAATTTTAACCTGATAGGTAATAGAGAAGTAGCTGGACAAACTGTTGGAAGAAAAAAGTTTTTAATTTTTTTTTTTTTTTTTTTCTGAGGCAGGCTCTCTCTGCAGTTCAGGCTGGCCTGGAATTCACAGTGATCCTCCTGCCTCAGGAGTGCTGGGATTACAAGTGTGAGCCACCACGCCCGGCAGGATCAGTTTTATACTATGTTATTTTGTATGAGCTTGTATGCGAAGACATGGACAACTACTTGAAAGAAAACAAGAGACAATATGATAGTGAAGATCTCAGGTTGTCTAGTTTTGAAATTTGTATATCTTACATTGCTTTCTTATGTCCTACTTTGTTCTGTTTTGTTGTTTAATTAAAAAAAAAAAAAGAAGAAATCCTCCATAGCTGCTCTATTGCATACTTAATAGATGCACAGACTGTACTGGCTTTAGGCCTGCAGTCAAACAATACAAGCATTAAGTTGTTTTTGTACCTCAATTCCTGTCAACTCAGCCTGTCAGCGGAACCAGCCAATTGCTTAGAGTCCAGGGGTGTCTTGTCTAATGCCCATTTGCCAGTTGGCTCATGGGAAAAGTGAATTTGCTTCATTTCTCCTCCCCAGTCCTGCATGGCTTGTGCCGGCTCATGGAAATGGTGAATTTGCCACCCCCTCCCCCCTTTTAAGACAGAGTCACACTATATTTCAGGCTGGATTTGAACTTCCTATGTAGCCCAGACTGACCTTGAACTCATGGTGATCCTGTTTCAGCCTTCCAAGTGCTGGGGATTACAAGTGTGTGTCACCACACCCTGAAAGATATTTTTCATGCATTTGATTAGCCATCATTGGTATACTGGAAGACAATTGCAGGTCACAATGGACAGTTTAGGTAGATGGATGTTTGGGTTAAGCTAGTATAGTCTGAATTAAAGATTAACACTTGGCTTGAACTACATGAGTGTAGTTCAATGGTAAAGTTCAAGTCTCAGTACTACAACAATAAGCAAGGTTAACATGGGCAGACCCAGCGACAGAGGATGACATTGTAGGAGGAATGAGGAGGAGACAGGAAGTCTTAAGAAACTCCAAGGGTTGGAGCTGGGGATTTAGCTCAGCGGCATAAGCGCCTGCCTCGCAGGCAGACATGAGTTCGATCCCTGGTACCGATAAAAAGGAAAAAGACCAAAAAAAAAAAAAAAGAAACTCCAAGGGCTGGGTTAAAGAGGACCATAAACTAGAGACTAATGCTTGGGTGGGACAACTAAGAGTGGGTCCTCTAGAGATTATATACTTAAACCTTTTGTTTACGAAACTCTAATTGAATGTGGAATTACATATAAAGCAATCTCTGCTTTCATCTCATTCCACCCAACTGGTAAATGTTTTCCTAAGCTTTATGGAATCAAAATCCACTGTTTCCTAACTGTAAACCTTTACATTAGTTTTTTCTTCAAGACCTACAAAAACCAAATACTATACTTCCAAATCACTCTGAAGCCCAGTGGTTGTTCACTCATCGTTTTTTTGAGACAGTTGTACTACACAGTTCAGGCTGGCCTTGAATTCTTTGTAGCCCAGGCTGGCCTCAGCCTCAAGTGCTTGGATTTTAGGCATGCACCACCACTCCTGGCTCACCCGCTGTTTTAATTCCTATTTTGCCTTTCAAATATTATGAGTATAGTCCTTGAATGTTACTGTTTCACCTAGCTGCCATGACTAAACTATTTCTTCATCAGCAACTTACATCCTTGTTGCTTGGAAGTGTAAATTATCGATTACATGTCACCATTATTGATTGCATGTTTAATTTGGGTGTCCTAATGAACTTCACAATTCAACTCGTTATGGTACACTACACATAAGCAGAGGGGCCTCCTGTTCATACTGTACTCACAGGAATCCTATTCCCACTGTCTCATGTGGCCAGAGATTTGTAGGCTGTGGTGCTGGAGCCCAAACCCTGGGCCTTTGTGCTAGTCACACTGTACTATAGTGCCACCCTCAGTCAAGCCATCAACCGTTTTAAAGACATTTGCGGGGGGGCTGGGGATTTAGCTCAGCGGCATAAGCGCCTGCCTTGCAAGCAGGCAGTCATGAGTTCGATCCCTGGTACCGATAAAAATGAAAAAGACAAAAAAAAAAAGACATTTGCGGATGAAACTTCACCAAAAAAATTTTTTTGGTACTAGGGGTTAAACTCTCCACAATGCTTGCCAGGTAGGTATTTAACAGCACTGAGCTAAACCCCTGCCCCCCAGAAATGTGATGACCCCAAATGCAACATTCATGGCAGTTTCCTCAAAGGCTTTGTCACTGGTATGTGGTAAGAACACTTCACAGAATTATGCTGACAAACTTTACCAACTTTTTGACACAGGGTCTTGCCATGTGACTGACGGTTAGCCTTGAAATTGTAGTAATCCCCTGCTTCAGCCTAAGTGCTGGGATTACAGGGGTATGCCACCAACCCCCAGCTACCAAGCAAATATTCTAAAAGCTTTCTAACCCACTTTTCATGTGTAACACAGATAGAGCTAATCAGATGGCAAGAATTCCTTTTTTTTTTTTGGTAGTAGGGATCAAACTCACCACTTTATACTTGCCAAGCAGGGGCTACATTGCTTAATTATATCCCCGGCTTTTATTCCATTTTTTGAGTGTAGGGCTCAGTCAAGTGTGTGATGCACATCTATAACCCCAACAATCAATTAGGATGAGGCAGAATTGTTCAACTTGAATCCTACCTGAAAACTTAAGAGAGGTCTCAAAAATACTGAAAAGCAGGGTGGGAATTTAGCTCAGTGGCACGAGGTCCCAAACTCAATCCCCCGTACCAAAATAAAAATAAAAAGCTTAATTGTCAGGGATGTAGCTCAGCAGCACAGCACCTGCCTGGGAAGCATAAGCCAAGTTCACTTCCCTGTATAACCAACCCCCT